TTTTGAACTCGAGAATTCAGATCGGAGTAGCTGTGTGTTTGCTCCCCCCACCACTGATACCTCATTGATTTCACGCGGTCTTGAATATCTTTGAGTGACATTTTAAATGGGACGCCCGTGATTGCAAATTTTGAAAATTTATATCTGGAAAGTACTCGGAATAACAAACCTATTGGTTCAAAAAACAGCCCTTATAGTTTTGCTGTAAATAAGGGTTAACTTTAACGGGCTATAACTCCGAAAATAATGGGCGGATCATCAGGTTTTTTTTTTAAATACTCGTCTTTCAGAGTACTTTCAAACCATATTTTAAAATAAAAAAAAATTTTAAAAAACATTAAATTATTGAAATTGTTTATAAGCGTGAAAATTGCGAAAGTGTTTAAACAATCACCACGGCTCACCTAATCGTCCGATTTGAATTATTCAAAAAGCATTTTAAAGCTTGAGAGCTCTTCTTTTTGTGGTGAAATTTTCAAGTATTCAAAGGCTTTAGATTTTTAGAAATTTGATTTTGAAAATTTTTTAATTTAAAAAAAATAAAAAAATTAAACAATTATTATGTAAAAACTATCGAACCGAATTGGATGAAATTTGGTGTGATGATTCTATGCACTAAGAAGTTTAATTGGGAAAAGTATGAAGATCCTAGGTATTATTCAAGTGTCTGAAAAAAATTGACAAATAAACTAGCATTTTTTGCAATTTTTTAAATGATTTTTCCGATTTTTGCAATAACAATAATTATTTTTTCGAATTGCAACTAACTCTATCTTGATCAAAATTTAATTACAAAACTTTTTTTCCTCTTCCATTTTTGTCTAAAATGAATAGTTGCTAAGTTGTCGACGAGAAATCCAAGAAAAAAATGAATTTTTTTGCTATTTTTTTATACTTTTTTGCAATAACAATTAAGCCCATGTTTTTTTTTATTTGCATAGAAATATTATCATTTCTGATGTTATTTAGAAGCCGTTAAAGCAAAAATCTCTGATCATATGCGTTTTACCCAACCCGAAACAAGTATCGCCTGGACTATATATTTACACATCTACGGTAACCAACAAAAAACGAATCGATTCGTTATTTCAAAAGCTTTATTTTTGATATATATGGGTTTTTCGATAAAACGCAAGGTTTTCGAGTTATTTATCAAATATGGTTGAAAAACATGCACTTTTTGGATGAAAAATCAACATTTTCAATCGCAAATAACTCGGAAAATATTAATTTTTGGTGAAAAACGTTATAGAAGATTTTTTGCTTAGAATTTATCCCTCTATTGATTTTTGCGATTAAAATGGGTGCTTTCATTGCCACCCCGAGAAGGGGTGGCAATCACCCCTAGGGTGAAAGCACACATCGGCACTATGTAAGTTTTTGTTTCTGGAGCAATATTTTTTTTTAATTGTTAGTGTTGCGAGAAACAACTACTCGAGGGCTATATGCCCCTACTGGCATTGAAATATACTCGCAACAGCTAGGATCGTTCGTCAGTTTAACCCACCAGGCACAGACCGGTTTCGGACTTATTATTGCTCAACAGTGTGTCATAGGCGAGACAACCGACAAATGATCCAGCTGTTTTTCGTCGTATCATCACAACAAGGAAATACATTGTATGCGGGAGCGCTCGACAGATGGAACCATTTGCGCTCCCGCATATAATCAATATTTTGTCCGTTTTTTCGTTGCGTAATTTCCTCCTTTCTTCTTCAAGAGCCACTCGGGCCTGCTGAGCACGGGCCATTACATCTCGTACGCCTGCAACCCCAACGGCCACTGGTACTGCTACAACGACAGCTCCTGTCGCGAAGTCGTCACCGACTCTGACCCCACCAACAGCAATAAGTCCACCCTCTCGCTCAGCTCCAAGGGCTCGACGGGGTGCACCCCCCTCAGCAGACGTAAGAACATGCCGAGGAAGCTCAGCACCGGCAGCAATAACTCCGACGATTCGGAGAAGAGGGAACGAACCGCGCCGCTCGCCTCCATCGACACCTCCCTGGCGTCATCCGACACCCTGGCCGGGTCCCGTTCCGGTTCCGTCTCCTCCGTGGACAAGTGCTGCGGCTCGGAGGGCGAGAGCCGTTCCGGTTCCCGTTCCGGGTCCCGTTCCGGTTCCGTCTCCTCCGTGGACAAGTGCTGCGGCTCGGAGGGCGAGAGAGCCCCGAGGGACTCGCCCTACTCCAGCCGGAAGTCCCTCAACAGCTATAGGTGCCCCTACGGGGACGTCAAGGTGCCGAAGATCGACACCAGCTCGGCGTACATTCTCTTCTACGAGCGGTCGGGGCTGGACTACAAGCCGTACCTCCCGAGGGTGCCGAACGGCCTCGGGAAACAAGTGCCTGTGGAAGATTTGGATGAGAACGAATCGGAGAAACAGACGTGTTCTATACAGTAAGGTTAGGTGTTAAGTAGGCGAATTTATTCGTTTGTTTTGGATTCTATTGAGTTTTTGTTTGTTCTTTTTTTCTTGGAAAAGTATTTGAAGTTTCTCTGAAGAGTCGGATTTTGTTGGTTGCTCGCCGTCTTGGACGGTAAATTCCGGTGTTTTTAATGTGGTTAAAATTGCGTGCCGTCATTGTAACGCTTCGGAAAACAGGTAAGTTACAGGGTAAAATTTACGTGTTACGCACGTTTCTGTATTCGTTTCCGTACTGTAATGGTTTGAACGTACTGTTATTTTTTTCATCATCGATTGGTGGGAGACGAGTGATTTTCATCTTTTATTTACGGCGGGGTGTGTGCCAAGCTGGTAAATTGGGAATTATCGGGGAATTTCGTAGATCTGGAAATGTCACAAAAAGGATTTTTACATACACCCTCACTTGGATTGGATTTTTCATCCCGCTTCTGATTTTTCGACAGTTCGAGGTTACTTTTTGCTCGAACGCTTTCGAGGACTGTTTTCATAGAAACTTTCCAACCAAAATTGCTTTTCCCTCCAAATTATAACCCTGTTTTTCCGTGTCTATCCGGGAGGCGTGTCTTTTTTTACGTGCCACAGGGAAAATTCAAAGTCGTTCTCAGTTGTCATTGATTAGTTAGATTTAGTATTATTTATGTTAACGTTTGAAAGATCTATTTTATTTATAGCCTTGTATTTATGTTACGAGGGATTATTATTGTGATTCGTTATCGCTGATGCCTAATTGAAAATACTGTTACTTCATAGAGCTTATTTAGGAACAGGTTATTTCTTTTTCTGTAAAATAGGTGTACCAAAGATATTTTAAAATAAATCTGTCGTCGAGAGCGATTCTGTTGGTGAGATTGTGTGATCTTGTCGAATTACTTTTAAGTTGTACATTCTTTCCTAGTCTGATATTTTAATAATTCCATTACTTTTAAGATATTTTAACATGTTATGATTGATGCAAGTTATTCCATTTATGTATATGCAATATGTTATACAGTTATATGGTGCCATTACATGATAAATAAAGCTTGTACGTTGTTTATTTTTGTCTGTTAATTTACACGAGAAAAGATCAAGCAACTTGCTAATTGTACCATTTGAAGCAATAATGAGAAGGCTTTGGAATCTGTGCGCAAACGCATACCACAGAACATAAAACCAAAAATATGCTCTTATAATACATCAGGTATGTTCAAGTTCATGTTTTTACAAAAATAATTAACTTCAAATAAAGAAAATATCGCAATTTTGCATAGAACTTCAAATTACTTACTTTTTACCGTTCGGTAAGTACAAAATATTTCCGACAGGGGGCTGGACGCTTGGCTTCAATTTTATGTGTTTCACGCGCCACCCATCTTTTCTATTTGTCTATGGCACCTGTTTCCTTGCCAAGTTTAAGAGGAAGAAGAAGAATCGGAGTTTTTGACATTTGTCAGATTCGAAGTTTGTAGAATTGCAATTTTCGCAAATTTTCTCGGAGAAAATGGGCTTACAACAAACAATTTACAATACCATTTTCAAGAGAACTTCCACCATGGCTCTGGCGTGCGTGATTTCGGCGTTTTTCTTCGAAAGATCCTTCGACCTAGGCAGCGACTTGGTTTTTGAGAAGATCAATGAAGGCGTGAGTACAAGAATTACATAACGCTTCCAACTTTAATGTTTTTATATTACAGTTTATACTTTATTACAAGTAATTCACGTGTTATTAAATGTTCTTACATTTTCAGAAACTATGGAAACAGATCAAGGACAAATACCAGTAAAATAATGCATTCAGATAGTGTAATTTGTATTTATTGTAAATAAAACCTTTAAAAAACACTTTATACTTTTATTAATGGAAAAGGTAATTATTCGGTAACTTCCCACGGTTTCTCTGGCCTGAACTGGTCCCATGGTCGACTCGGTTTGTATTGTGGGGGTTCTTTAAGTGACACTCCACCGTCTTCCACGGCTTTTAAGAACAGCGCTACCTTTCCATTTGGAATTGGGGGTTCGATATTACAGCTAACTTCTAGTATCCCGCTTTGAAGGCATCTATCCGCTAAAACCTACAAAAGTAAATTAAAACAAACCATTTTTGCTAATATTTTACAAAATTACTCTTCCTAAATTTATATACGCAGATGTATCCACAGTCCTGTACAGCTGCTTCTTTATAGCCCATTCCGATGTACTAGTCTTTATAATCTCCCCGTTTTCAAAGTGGTTAATGGTAGCTGTTACGTATCTTCCTGAAGCTGTTAGGTTTAATCTACAACACATAATGTTGAAAAAAATTATAGGCAAGTGATAAATGTTCTTACTTGTGCCAGTAGCATTTTCCTGGTCTGTCTACGTGATAACCATCGGGTTTATAACCTATCCTAAGTTTTTCCAAATTCCTCGGATTTCTATTAGTAAAAACAGAACTGACGACATTTTGTGGGGCTGCTGTACTACTCTGTCGACGCTGTGCTAATTTGGGAAGTATTTTTGTGCTGTTTCGTAAACTGTACATTATATTTTTCTATAAGAATTTATAGGTTAGGTTGACCAGTGGCGACATCTATGTAATAGAAATAAGAACAACAGATTACAGTGTCCTTTCTTAATTTGACCGCACCATCTACCGATGAATAAGTACAACTCAAATTTGTAAATTTCAGGGTTCTTTTTATGTTACAAAAAAATATAAAATTAACCTGTACTTTGTACTGAAACTGATACTTAGAATTCTTTGTTGAGATGAATGCTAGATGAGATTGAGAGATCAAAGTTTATAAAATATCATGTCTCTGTTTTTTAATTCCTTACCTAGATTAAGTAAGTTTTTTTCTCCTATAGTCAGCAATTAAACACCTGTTGCTTTGTCATGCTCCAGAATTTTTTTTTCAGCATGTTCGGTAAGGACCCGCGGTATAGCCTCTTTGGCGGCCCTACCAGAAACCCATCAAATGCTCCAGAAAACATGCCGAGATTTCGCAGAGGGCGAGTTAAAACCCGTAGCAGCGAAAATCGACCGTGAACACTTATACCCCAAGGAACAAATCAAGAAGATGGGCGAGCTGGGGCTGATGGCTGTGGCTTGTCCCGAGGACCTAGGCGGCGCCGGGTTGGATTATCTGGCGTATGCCATTGCCATGGAAGAAATTTCGAGAGGGTAATACCTATTTTGGTGTGTTAAGGATGGGTTAATTAACGCTGATATATTTTAGTTGTGCGAGTGCTGGTGTTATTATGTCTGTAAACAATTCTCTCTACCTGGGACCGTTGCTTCAGTGGGGCACTTCCGAACAAAAAGAAAAGTTTGTCAGGCCTTTCACGAACGGACTCAAAGTAAGCACTTAGTTTTTCTTATTATCGTTAACTGTAATATGTTTATAGTTCTTTTAAAACTTTTACAAAATAATACTTTTTAATATTAGGTGGGCTGCTTTGCTCTGTCCGAGCCTGGAAACGGGTCGGATGCTGGCGCAGCCTCCACCACGGCCAAACCAGACGGATCGAATTTTGTCCTCAACGGAACTAAGTCGTGGATAACGAACGGTTATGAAAGCGAGGCTGGAATCGTTATGGCCACCACCGACAAAAATTTGAAACATAAAGGTATTATTATGTGACTTTTATTAACTTCCGTTAATATCTGCAACGTTTTTATTCGCTTTTTTCAGGTATATCAGCTTTTATCGTTCCGAAACCAACCGAAGGCCTGGAACTGGGCAAGAAAGAGGACAAGCTAGGTATAAGGGGTTCCTCTACGTGCGCTCTCATGTTCGAAGACTGCAAGGTGCCGAAAGAAAACTTATTAGGGGAATTAGGCTTCGGTTTTAAGGTAATCGCTTGTCACAAGTCACATTTAACAAATAACACCTAAAAAATCACATGTCGCGTTCTTTTACAGATCGCCATGATGACATTAGACGCTGGTCGCATCGGAATCGCCGGCCAAGCCCTCGGCATCGCTCAGGCATCACTTGAGGTAGCTACCGAGTACGCTTCCAAGCGTCTGGCGTTCAACAAACCCCTCGTCAAGCTACAAACGATACAGAACAAACTGGCCAACATGGCCCTACGGTTGGAGTCGGCGCGGCTGCTGACGTGGCGGTCGGCCTGGCTGAAGGACAACAAGAAGCCGTACACGAAGGAAGCGGCGATGGCGAAGCTGGCCGCCAGCGAGGCCGCCACGTTTCTCAGCCACCAGTGCATCCAGATCTTGGGAGGAATGGGGTAAGACTTTTCTTTTTTTTTTTGGATATTTCTCATATTTCTCGTTTCAGGTATGTCTCGGATATGCCAGCGGAACGTCACTACAGGGATGCGAGGATTACAGAGATTTACGAGGGTACGTCGGAGATCCAGAGGCTCGTTATCGCGGGGAACCTCATCAAAGAGTTGGGGCTCAACTGAGACTTTATTTTTATGCAATACTGATCTATATTTTTATTATTGGAAGTGTATTTTTTTTTATATTTGATCAAATAAAGGCAGAAGACTGAACATGGCTTTTATTTTAATTAAGAATAGGTAAAACCAAAGAAAATATGAATTTAGTACCGAAAATCTGTTGCCAATATGAAACTGTGTAAAAGTTATGAATTTTAATATTTAAAACTAGGTAAATAAATTCGAGAGCCCGTGTACGTAAAAATTAGACCTAGATATTTTTCAATTTTTCAAATTAAGACCTAGATGATGCCAATTTAATATGGTTTTTAGACCTAGATACAAGCTTCATGACATGAACATATTAGACCTAGATAAAAGTTAAAATTGCGAATTTTTTGCATTTTAGACCTAGATAATAATATCTTAGTCGCTAAATTATCTAGGTCTAAAATGCAAAATTTTCGCCATTTTTCCTTTTATCTAGGTTTAATGTGTTCATTCATATATACGGGTATTCGCTGTGAGCAAGTAGGTAGAGGGGATAGTCAAACATTTGCGAGCGCTAGTAGCGTCAACTTGGTGAACTTCGGTCGGAAATTTAAAAATCTTCGGCATAAGGATATTTTTAAATGGGGCACACAAGTTGCTGTATCAAAGATTATAAAAATACCGGTTATAATAGTGACTGTGCATTTTACAAATTACCTAAAGCTACTCATAAACTGGGTCAACGACAAAAATGAATTGATGCAATTAGAAAAAAGTAAGTAAATATAACCTTAAATTTTAAAATTGACATTGATTGAAAATGTAAGTTGTGACGTGGATTAAAATTAATGTTTAAAATCTATCTAAATAATAATTAAAATTTTATGTTGTAGGTAGAGCATTTAATCATGGGCCAGGATGGTTACCTAAAAAAAGTCATGTAATTTGTAGTAGTCATTTGATCACTGTTTGATTGAAATACTCCAAAACTAGAAAAATAAATAAATAAATAAAAAACATTGCTATTTAGACAATATTTTTAATCATTTGTTTATTTATTGCATGTATAATTAAATTTTTGAGGGAAAATTCTCCTATTCTAATATTCGCAGTCAACATAATCACAATATGAAGTGCAAAATCTTAAAAATAATAATTATAATGAATAAAATTGTTTACTCACTGATATTATTCATAGATTACGATATAATAACTTCTTTATTACGTTAATTAAATAAAAAATATTAACTATCATTTGTATTTGGTATATACACTTTCAGAATTATGTCATTTTAAATTTCCGACAGAAGTTGTAGCTATAAAACCGCTAGGTGGCGATACCAGCGAAGCTCACAGCGAATATGAAGCTCTAAAAACCATACTAAACTGGCATCATCTAGGTCTAAAATGTAGAAATAAAAAATTATCTAGGTCTAATTTTTATATATACGGGCTCTCGAATCATTTTACTTAACAATTTTAAGACTATAAATGAGAAGTTAATCCAGCTAATTTTTGACCTAGGTCAGAATTGCATGTAACCGTATATACACAAACTACCTGGATAAAAGCTAAAATATGCCTAAATTTAGAATTTTACACCTAGAAACCACTTTTTTCAATAGACTCTAAACTTATGGACGTAGGGGTCTGTCTCGTATCAATTTTTTTGCTTGTCATTATTAGAATTATTATTTTTTAAGTGAAATACACACTAAAATACTCTACATTATTTCTTGCCGTTAACGATTTCTTTTTTGAAACATTTTGGGCCTCATCAACCTGGATAAGTTTCGTATGCTAAAATATTTTCTTAAGAGTAATTATGTACGAAGACGTTGAATGGCAGAAAATGGATTGATTTCAATTAAAAACCTGGTGAAAATTTGTAAAAAGTTAATAGTAACACATTTTAATTATTTGTTGCATTTAAACGTAGACAAAATGTTTCATTACTTTTTTTTATGTATTTTGAGACAATTTTTCAAAATCTAAGAAGTAGGTTAAAAAATAAGAGTTATTTATACAGGGTGTCCCGAAGTTAATACAACAAAATTTTAACATAGATTCTTAAGACAAATTTGGGGGACCCGTATTTTTTCTTTTTGCCAAGTGGTCCCCTCTTTCGGAGTTACAGCCCCCTGAAATCTGCCCCTAAAAATAGTCTCTTAAATCTCAGAACCCTGTTGTACGAGAATCACTAAATTTGGTACACAGGGGTTTTATGACATGTGGAATCTGATAGTGCTACGCTACGCGGGGAACCGCCTTAACACACTTTTTCGTGGGCCCCCTTGTCTTTGGAACCAAAAAGATTTGGTCGCAAATTTGAATTTCTTAAAATTTATTAGTTATCTGGAAAGACATTGAATTTGGAAACTTTTTTGTCTCTTCGTATTTTTTTTGTAAAACGCAATATTTTTGAGGAAAATGGTGAATCACGATATGCATTCGACCATATTTTGACAATTTTTTCAAAAACATTGCATTTTACGAAAAAAATATCAAGTTACAAAAAAGTTTCTAAATTTAATGGCTTTCTAGCGGACTAATAATTTTTAAGAAATTTAAATATGCGACCAAATTTTTTTGGCTCTAAAGGCAAGGGGACCTACGAAAAATTGTCTTAAGGTGGTTCTCCGCCAAAAAGCGTAGCACCATCAGATTTCACATGTCACAAAACCCCTATGTATCAAATTTACTGATTCTCGTACAACAGAGTTCTGAGATATAAAAAAAAGATTATTCTTACGAGGCAGATTTCAGGGAGCTTTAACTTCGAAAGAGGTCACTTGGCAAAAATAAAAAATACGAGTTCCCCTAAATTTGTCTTAAGAATGTGTCCAAATTTTGTTGCATTAATTTCGGGACACCCTGTATATCAAAATTATAAAATATGACTTTATAGTCTGCAGAGCGAAGAAAATGGCATACGGCATCGCTCCAGACACATTACGTGCCTACTGCAACTGACCCTTATAATACCCTTGATACATATAGAATGTTATCCAGGACCAGTTCCTTTTCAAAACTGACACGTGGAGGAATAGTAAAACTACATAAATTAAAAAACTGTTATAATTACCAAGCAAAACTGTTAAAAATTACATTATTAGTCTTAGGATGTAATAAACTGTGGAAAACTGTTCATAAAGTACATTTCAATGCTTAGTTGTCGATAAAATAATTAAAAGTTTGATTTGTACAATGAAACATTTTTAACTTGCTAATGAATAAGTATTTATATGTATAGTATGTATAAATGTTATTTATTTATTTACGAAGTTTTAAATGTATAAAAATTCAACTGAAAAAGTGTCATAAGTTTTCTCAAGACTACTGCTGAAATTACTACTGCATAATTTAAATACAATTACCTTTGAATTTTTGATCAACGTTGTGCAACATTTTAAAAAGTTGTTAAAACTAATATTTTACATACAAAATGTTAACTTTCTCATCAAAATGAATGTTCAAAACTTTTATTTTTAAATTTCTATTGATTACTATGTGGAAATTCGTTTAAATGACTCAACTTTTCAAAAAAATGTAGCTAAAACATAATTTCAAGCAGAAGCTATGCTAAACAATAAATTTTCAGTACGAACGGTTCAAAAACCATCTCAAAGCCATAATACTCAATTCTGCTCATCGCAGCACCTCGCAAATCATTCATAACACTTAACAAGTGACGCTTCAAAAATAAAATGCAGCTTTCCGATACAGTCATTTATTAGAAAACAAATTTAAATTATTACACATATTAAAATATTTAATGTTGTTTACGCCTGAAACTGCATCCTTCGGTCAGTCGCGCTTTGCCACCAGTGGACGTGCAGAGGATGGTGGAACAACCTTTGCAGGGCACCGCGGACTGTGCATGTGAGAAAATTGTGGAGATGGCGTAGCACCCAGGACACTTAACGTCCATGAAGTAACTGTTGGGGTGCTGCACCAACCTGAAGCACAAATAAAATTAAAATAAATAACGTACCGCGAAGGTTAAAGCCGTTTTTATCAAACCTAAGGTTACAGCGCAAGTCGTGCTGATTTTTTAAGTAAGACACTCACCTTTTCTTCTTGTGGGATCTCCTCTGTTTTTCCGCAGAGGGGTGCAATAAGTCAACTGCTAAAGGCATCTGTAAACAAATAAAATACTGGATTAGCGTCGGGATTTCTCACTAGGAACACTCGTGGTTAACACTTGAGTATATTTTCGGTGGTACCTACGTTTAAAACTCTATTTTTGCACGTTTAACTCGATAATTTCTTTTGAGTCGCACGTGGTACTTTCGGCTATCAACCATGTAAAGGAAGTAGGCAATAGGTAAGCGATGTGACCAACGGAAAATGCAGGGGCACCAACTTATATACTCTAAACTCTCTATACTTGGAAGTGGCTAAGAACTAGGAATTTCTCGTAGAATTTAATTCAGCCGCGAAAACAACCAATTTTTCATTAATTTCACTTGATTCTTAACCTTTAAAATTATTTTCATGCTTTATTTGCTTCAAGAAATAAGAATTCTTGAGCAGTTGTAAAGTTGTGCAATAAAATGTAACATTACCATTCACGAATTGTATTTACATCAGGTGTTGCAAACGTTTAAAACAAATAGTTTACGTTTATATACATGTAAAGGGAGTGTTAATAATAATCGATAATTACATTTAAATGCATCAAGTAGAAAGCTTGATGTTTGACACTTCCTCTTTGTTTATGCTTAACTTCACTCTTTCCACAGGCGACATCTGTGATCATTTCTGCAAAAACGCATCGGCGCAATCAAGTTTCAACTTGTTTGGCTGTTGAATTGCATTTGTTCTCTTTATCTGTTGAATAATAAAGATAATCCTATTTTTGTAAAAAACGTATTCTATTATTAAATCTGGTATTTTTACTGTATTATGAAGGTATTAAGATAATTTAAAGGTATTTTAGAGAACTTTTTCATATGAAGTCGATGATTTTCGATACCATATCTAACTGATCCATAATTGTTGATATTGCAGGAAACTACTGTATGGGCTACGTGCCCCAACTAGCGTTGAATTACACCATCAATACCCAATAGTAATAAATAATCATCCAAAATGACTCAAAATGTCGAAAACAACTGATGTATATGAATTAAATAATGTAATTTTCAAAGAAAATTTCAATTATTCTACCCTTTTCAAAAATTTTTCTCGATTTTTTTAGACAAAATTTTTTTGACTATTTCGCAATAAAATTTTTTATTTTCTTTTACGACAGGAATTTAATAACTAGAATTTATTGTTTCAATAGAACTATTCATCGCTACTTTAAATTTATTACTTACCGTAATTGCTTTTCCAAACTGGACATCCTTCGAATAAGAAAAAAAAACAAAAATTTTATTAAAACGATTAAAAAACGAAGAAAAAAATATATAAACCCACAATTTATTGAAACTATACATGTACAACAAGTCAAATCGATAAATCGTGGTAATTTTCCAACTTAACGCATCTAGAATTTTAGCCTGTGGGGGAATTGCGATGAACGGAGACCCCACATGGCCGAAAGGTAGGCTAGGAGGAGCTTCCTATCCGGATGCTTCCGGATGGCGGCCAACACCTGTTGGTCCACCTGTTTCTGGTCGGTCTTCCTCTGGTCGCTGACTTTGTACCCCTTCAAGAAGTAAAAATACTTGAATAATACCCCAGATGCAGTTTTTAATAATCAACATTTCTTTGTATGAATGTGAATGAGTCCCGAGAATACTCCGAATATGAATTTTTCGACATTTTCCGGTGTTGATTTTTAGTAGTCATAAAATCTTTGTGTGGTCGTGATATTTTTCGTAAAACTGACAAAAATTTGGGAGATTTATTTGCTACAAGATTTATTTTTATATTTTGAAATTTTCGAAATAAAAAAAAATATATTTTTTTAACCAAAGCCGTCAAGTTCTTAAGTGGATGTCGTTTTATGAAAATTCTGTCCATCAAAATTAAAATAGTTTATTTTAACTGCAAAGAAGAAATTAAAGAAATTTTCTCTAAAAAAAATATTGCATCTTAAATTTTGAACGGTTAAAAAGATATTTTGATATTTTACTCTTAAAAATTATAATTATAAAATTTATTTTGAAAAATTTCAAAGGAAAATTAATTTTTTAACCGAAGCTGTCAAACTTGAGAAAATCGAAAATAATTTTATGCAAATTTTTTGACATTTAAATCAAAATGAGCAAAACGATTCTCTAAGAAAAATTAAATACTACTAGCAGTATTAAAAATGAATAAACTAAAACAATGTCCATAAAAATACTTATTTAGAGTACTATACAAAAAATTTATAGATGCAATACATTGAAAATTGAGAAAAAAAAACGTAAAAATCAAATTATTTCAAATAATTTTTTATATTAGTTATAGTCGCCACAAGTTTTTATTTTTGTAATTTGAAAAATTTCAAAGAAACATTGCCTTTTTAACCAAAGCGTTTTGATGTTTGGAAAAAATTATTTTATGTAAACTGATATCAAAACTTAAATATACAAAATTTTAGTAAAAATTTAATAAATTTCTCTAATTTATATCTTATTTTTGTAGTTTGACAAATATCAAAACTAAATTAGATTTTTTTAACCAGTCTTTCAGCTTTAGGGAAAATCCAAAACAAATAAGCACCAATTTAAGTAAATTTTGAAATTGAAATTAAAATGCAAATTTTTGGCCGCAGATAAGAAATACAAGAAATTTTCTAAAAAAAAATAGTATATTAGTAATTTTTAATATCAAAAATTCAAAAAGCTATATTAAAAAATCAAACCGAATTAATTTTTAGAAAATGGGAAAAAATCAAAAGAAATTTTGTAATTTGAAAATTCTAAAGGAAAAATTAAGTTTTTAATAAAAACATTGAAGCTTTTGAGAAAGCCGGATATTTTATGCAAATTTTGACATCAAAATATAACATTCAGAATTTTTTCAATCATTGATATCAGTTAAAATATACAAAATTTCAGCCAGGAAAAAAAAATAGCATCAAAATTTATTTAAAACAAAAAAATCAAGATATTTTCAAAAAATTTTTAAAATCAGTAGTCGTTGCCATAAATTTAAGTTTTATTTTTGTAGCTTGACAAATTTCAAAACCAAAATATTTTATTTAACTAAAGCTCAAAGCATTGAGGAAATCCAAAACAAATACCAATTTGAGCAAATTTTGGAATTGAAATTAAAATACACAAAATTTTAGTCGCAGATAAGAAATACAAGAAATTCTCTAAAAAAAAATCGTATTTACTAATTTTTAATATAAAAAATTCAAAAATCTGTTTTAAAAATCAAACAAAATTAATATTTAGAAAATGGGAAAAAAACAAAAGATAATTTCAAAAGAAATTTTTGTTTTAATATTGTAATTTGAAAATTCTAAATGAAAAATTAAGTTTTTGACAAAATCCCTTCAGCTTTTGAGAAAGCCGGATATTTTATGCTAATTTTGACATCAAAATTATAATACAAAATTTTGAACTTTTTCAATCATTAATATCAAAATTTAAAATAACTGAAAAAAGGGAGAACTTTTCCTTTAAACAGATTAAAATTTAAAATGCAAAAAATCAAGATATTTTAAAAGAATTTTTTAAATCAGCCGCCATAAATTTAAGTTTTATTTTTGACAAATTTCACAAATGAAATAGATTTTTTAACCAAAGCCTTTGAGGATTAGGGAAAATCTAACACGAATACCATTTTAAGCAAATCTTGAAATCGAAATTAAAATACATAAAATTTTAGACGCAGATAAGAAATAGAAAAAATTCTCTAAAAAAGAATTAGTAATTTTTAATATCAAAAATTCAAAAAGCTGTCTTAAAAATCAAACAAAATTAATATTTAGAAAATGGAAAAAACCAAAAGATAATTTCAAAAGAAATTTTGTTTTAATTTTGTAATGCTAAAATTCTAAGTTTTTAACAAAAATCTTTCAGCTTTTGAGAAAGTCGGATATTTTATGAAAATTTTGGCATCAAAATTTAAAATGCAAAAAATAAAAAGATTTTAAAATAATTTTTTAAATCAGATCACTATAAATTTAATATTGATTTTTGTAGTTTAACAAATTTCACAAACAAAATATATTTTGTAACCAAGCCTTTGAGCTTTAGGGAAAATCCAAAACGAATACAATTTTCAGTAAATTTTGAAATTGAAATTAAAATACACAAAATTGTAGACGCAGAAATACAAGAAATTCTCTAAAAATATCAATAGTAATTTTTAATATCAAAAATTTAAAAAGCTGTCAAAAATCAAACTAAATTAATATTTAGAAAGTGGAAAAAAACCAAAAGATAATTTCAACAAAATCCCTTCAGCTTTTGAGAAAGCCGGATATTTACATAAATTTTGAAATTAATTTCTCAAATCTCAAAACTAAAACGTAAAATTTCAGTCAAACAATTTTTAAAATCATACAAAAAATCCTCTAAAAAAAATCCTATATTAGTAATTTTTAATACCAAAAATTCAAAAACTTAAAAAACATCAAATTAATATTTAGAAAAAAGATTTTTTTTTAATTTTCAATTTTTGAAAATTTAAAAGGAATAATTAAGTTTTTAACAAAAACCCTTCAGCTTTTGAGAAAGCCTGATATTATTTTATAAAAATTTTGATGTCAAAATTAAAATACATAACTATTAAAAAAATTCTCCAAAACAATTATATATTAGTAACTTTTAGCATCAAACATTCAAAACCGCTGTCTTAAAAAAGGGAAATGTTTTTTTCTAAAAATTCACACTGTGTATTACATGCAAATCAATATGTGCAACATATTAATACAAAAATAGCAAGGAAAAAAGGATGATTTTAAAGAAAATTTGTTTTTTTGTATTTTAAAATTAAAAGGGAAAAATTATTGTTTTAACAAAAGATCTTCAACTTTTGGAGAAACCCAAATATTATTTTATGTAAGTTTTGACTTTGATGTCAATAAAATACACAAAATTTTAGTCGCAGATAAGAAATACAAAAAAAATTTCGTAAAAAAATTGTATATTACTAATTTTTAATATCAAAAATTTAAAAAGCTGTCATAAAAATCAAATCAAATTAATATTTAGAAAATGGAAAAAACTAAAACAATTATAGAAGACATTTTGTAATTTGAAAATTTTAAAGGAAAAATTCAGTTTTTAACAAAAATCCTTGGAGTTTTTGAGAAAGCCCAATATTATTTTAGGCAAATTTTGATGTCAAAATTAAAATACAAAATTTTAGTAATAAAAAATTTAAAAAATTCTCCAACAAATGCAAAACAATATTTGCAACATATTAAAATAGAATGAAAAACAGATGATTTCAAAGAAAATTTGGTTTTAATTCTGTATTTTGAAAATTTTAAAGGAAAAATAAATTTTTTAACAAAGTTCTTAAACTTTTGAGACGAATACTAGTATATGTAAATTTCGACGTAAAATTTAAATTAAAATACACAAAATTTTAGTCGCAGAAAAGAAATACAAGAGAATTGTCTAAAAAATTAAACGTTACAAACAAACAAATGCAACAAAATTTCTTAAAATGAGAGAATTTCACTAGAAAATATTAAGTATTATATGAAAAATAATAATAGCACATTGAAATTTAAAAAACGGAAAAAACACTGGAAATTTAATACTTTTTATCAGTTGATGATAGCTAAAATTTAAGATGAATTTTTATATTTGGGAAATTTTAAAAAAAAAATTCAATTCAAGGATTACAAAGAATTTCTATGAAAAAAAATTAATAGTAATATTCACCAATAAAATATTACAAGAAGCCGACTTAAATACTCCACGAGAATGCAAAACAAGGAAAAAAACGTTTAAAAAAAAATCCTACCTCTTTTTTGGTCTGGAAAATATCTCCCTCTTCCTTTTTCGCACGCTTCTCCCTTTTCCTGGCAAAGTATTTGTCATCGATATTATCGGGTAACTTCACGTCACTGATATCGATTTTCGTCTGCGTGCCGATGACGTAACGCTGACTGACACGTCTCAAGGGGCAGGCGTTGATGCCGAAAGGTCCTAAAATTTAAGAAGATTAACCCAAAATCCAGGACAAACACGAATAAAGACTTACCGGTTACAAGAAGCAAGCCAGAGTGGAGCTGTTTGAGGAAAACAACCCTCTTTCCCTTGTGGGAGCTGGCCAGAAGGATAAGTACGGTCCCGGGGGTAATCGAGTCCCGCAGGGTACGCGTGTGTTGTTTGAAAGTCTTCTTCGCCGGCCTGGGCTTGATCCTACAACACAACGTTTACAAAGCAAGTCGAAAACAGAAAAAATAAGTACGGTTAGTTTAGTTTAAATCAGATTAGATTGAATCGACATGGATTTTTCAGCGGTGTCCTAAGTAAAGATCATCATAAAATTTGTTGCAAGGCTTTCTAGTAGTTTGAAAAACTTACCTGTCTTGGGTGGGGTAAGACGCCCTGCGTTTTTTCACTAAAACGAATCTCTTCCCTCCGTTCTTCTCACCGCCAATTGGTTTTTCAATAACGCGAGGTTTCTGCGGCCTTTTCGTGGTCTTAGTCTTCTTGCCCACAAATTTATACAAGGCCTTTTTATGGTACATTTTGGTTCTGGAGAACCTGAGCACGCCATTTCCTAAGTCATAGTTTCTGGGTTTGCCGGGTTTGTGGACCCTTTTTGGGGTCTCTTCGGGCTTCTTCTTATTCGCTTCCGCCGGCGGAGCCATCTGTTAAGAAACAAATCCAGGTAAATAACGTGTATAATAACCCAGTTTTAGGTTATGTTTTCGATAGCGAACTAAATAAAAACAAAAGAGCATTATACTATTCTTTCCAACAAATATCAAGGCTAAGTTAAAATACAAGAGCTGTTCCTCCTTCCGAGATTAATTTCATAAAATCTTAACACACTGACATTTCCTAAAGCACTGGTGAAAACAATAAGATTTTTTTCTAATACCTGCAAATTTTACTTAAATATATCAGTTGAACTTAACAGTATACACTTACATTAAACTAGTTTCGAGTATGAAAACGTATTTTTTGATAGGATGATTGAAAAAATTAAGGATTTTATGAAAAATATAAACTATACACTCACCTCGAGCGACAATTTTGGCAAAAGGGGAAGGTTCTGCGCATGTCTGTCAAAGCTGCCAGCTGCCACCAGCGCTGCCAATATCATATCACAAAATAAACTAAACCTCACAGGAATTGTTAAATTTGATGGTTTTTGTTAATGTGCTGTTTCTTTCTTGGTATTGAGTAATTAGATAATTGTATGCAGAAGAGAATAATTAATTTTCTAAATAATATTATAGTACGAGTCTTGTTTTAGTAAAATATTATTAAGACATATAAACGGGGTCAATTATGTATGGATTGTTCTACGACATACGTCTAATGTTAATATTTGAACTACTGCTGTTTGTCTGAGATAGTGTTCTGCTAAAATCTGTCAAGAACTACTGCTAATTCGTCCAAATAAATGTTTATCTTTACAAAAACAAAATGCTCAAAATATTTGATATTTGAAGTTTAGTATTTCACAAACCTTTTGGCCTGATAAACATTTTAGAGGATTTAACATTCGCCGGTGCAGTATTGATGTGAAAGAGACACAAATAAAAATAAAATACATTTATTTTACATCTTATTTTACGGTAACGGAAATAATTCTAATATCATCGTATGGTTTGTCCGTCTTTGCGTTCGTTTTAACATTGCTGATATTCTGCACGACCTCCATTCCCTTTACAACCCTTCCAAATATCGTATGTTTATTATCGAGCCAAGGCGTGGGTGTTAAAGTGATAAAAAACTGACTGCCGTTGGTGTTCGGACCAGCGTTTGCCATCGACACGGTGTACGGCCTGTCGTGTCTTAAACTCGGCCTAATTTCATCCTCAAAGTCCCCACCCCATATGCTCTCGCCGCCAGTACCGTTACCCGTGGGATCACCTTAAAAAATTCAATTTTGAAGCTAACAATGAGTTTTACCAATATTTTGTAACAAAAACAGTAATTTACCTGTTTGAATCATGAATCCTTTTATAACTCTGTGGAAAATATGTCCGTTGTAATACCCGTTTTTGCTGTGCACGCAGAAATTCTCGACGGTCTTCGGCGTGTCCTTCATGAACAGTTTTATGTGGATATCCCCGAAAACTGTGTGAATTATAGCGTTTTCGTACAATCGCTGTATGGCCGGGTTCTCCGTCGCCGCAAACGTGTCTTCCTTGGAAGGCTTCTCGTTGAAAACGTCTCGATCTTGATCGCCGGGCAAGTCTTCTGGCTCCCTACGACTAAACAGGTAAAACCTAGACTTCTTGTATGCCGTACATATTATTGTGGGATCGGGAACTATTGCTTCGAGCGTCGGATTGCTGGAGGCTTCTATTTCCAATGTGACGGCCGCCTTGGACTTTTTCGCTGACCCTAAAAAGTACAGGAATAAAAATAAGCTGTACGTAAAGGTAATCCCCTATAAATACCCTGATAGAGCGCAATGTTTAATATCCTTAAATTCTCGTTCTTCCCGATGATTCTAACGCACCTATTCGAGTACAGATTTATTAATTTGATACCTAGGAGCGTGGCGTACATTATAAAATGGCCGCTGCTATCGAAAATTATGTTTGCAAGTTCGTGACTTTCCGATTTTTCTAGATCCCGCTCTATCGCCATTCTTCGCCCAAATTCCATGTTAGGGAGTTGTTGCTTGTTCTGCTGGAATTCCGTGAACCTAGGCAACGTTTCATCCAAAACTAGCACCTACGTTTGAATCGTTAATTAAAACATTGCATGCACATTTTTACTTACAACATAACTTACCAATTTTCCGGTGATGAAATTAAATACCCTCACTCTTCGGTCAGTGCAAATTGTGGCAAACTTTTTCCCCTCGGGTGAAAACGCCAGTCCCGTTGGGGTGGTTTTATTTTTTGCAAATTCGTACAAATCTGTGTCTAGCTTCGAGTCGAAAGCGACGTTTTTGGGAAATATACAGTCCTGCTTAATACCTGTCCAGTATTCTAGAAAAATATATTAATTTTAATAAAACCTTAACGTACGCGAAACGTATTAAATACCTAACATTCCTCCTCTGTCCACGGATATAACGACGTCGTATTTCGGATTATATCTTATCAAATAAACAGGTTTCATGTGAATTTTCTCTAATACCTTCAAAGCCGCGATGGTAGCTCTTCCGTCGTAGACGTAGATCTTGCTCGATTCCTTATCGGACACCGCTAAGGTATGAATGGCATCACCGGGTCCGTGAATCCATTCCACTGTGCCGGGAATGTAATCTAGTCTCATCATATTTATCATGTCAAAATTTATTACGTCAAATATCTTTAAACTTTTATCCACCGATGCCGAACACAACAACGATCCTTCTATATTACAAGCTATCCTTACTATGGGACCTGGAAACACGCAAGTCAACTTGTTTCAACGAAAACACTTACTAAGAACCTACCTAGGTGGCTGCGAAAATGCTTCACAAACTCAATCCCAGTCTCCATTTTCTTCCAGAACTTTATGTGGCCGTCACAGCTGGCGGTAATAACGAAATCAGTGGCCGATACCACGCAGTGCGTTATCACGTCCCTGTGCATGTAACTCTTCTCGTAAGACTCGGCACTGGGTAAAAGTTCCAAGTACAACTGTTCGTGTGGCAACACTTTACGTTTCTTGGGCTGTGTTGCCTCTGACAACGCCGGCCCCACTAAGTCTTCTGGTTCCGATTCGCCTTCGCTTTCGTGGGGCCTCTTGCGTTCGTCAGGTTCAACTTCATTACTCATGACGCCAAAACTGAAATGAATTCTACAATTTGAAAAAAACAAAATAGGTTGTATTTCCTATATTCCTTATTTAATGGGCATCTAGCTTTACTTCAGAAATCGCTAAATATGCACAGATTACCCAAATTGTAAATTATGTTTCAAATTTATTATTTTGGACAATAATTTTCTCCGTTTAGATTAGATGAAAATTGAAAAGTGAGGTTAAATATTTATGATGTAATCTCAGACATACGTTAACAAATTTAATATTAGAACTACTACCCCATACCGTAGGTAAAACAGACACGTCAAAAAAATCAAATCAATATCAGAACTACTGACGCATGTCGGGAACGGATTACGATTTTTGACATATGACACGTCATTTTTAGGTTATATTAAGGAGTGTAATGTTTATTTTAAGAAAATAAGAAAATCCGGATGAATGATTAATACCAAAGGCGAAAATGTTTAAAAAACTGAAAGATAAAATCACGGAGGAGGTGAAGAGCTCTCCTCAACGATTCGCAGAGTTTACTCAGTCCGTCAGCGACAAGTTACAAAACACTACAACGGCAGATGATGTTTTTTCAATCGGAGAAGACGGTAACATTTTTCAGTAGCTAGTGACCGGGACAAAGCTAATTCTTTCATTTCTAGATGCGAATACGTCTACCAACAGCACTGACCACGGCTTTTCGAGCGTCAACTTAGTCAGTCCGTCACAGGAAAGAGTCAGGCGAGGTTCTACTTCATCTATGGCGAGCGACGTGTCGTTTTTACCTAGATACGAGTCGGGAAGCATGTACCACCTACAAGTAAGTTCGAGGATATCATAGATGCACGTATATCATCGTAAACTACTTTGTGTTTTAGTCCGATTTGGATGATTCTGTTAGCGAATTTGAAGACAGCGCTTCCACGGCCTCTTCCCAGATAGGACATCTTAGTAAAGAGCAGATCTACTCTGCGTTTCAAAAGTCTCAGATGAGGTACCATAAATACAGAGGGAGATACACAGATTTGGCTAGACACTATAAAGATTTAGAACGAGAAGTTTCGAAAATGAAGGTAAGTGGTCCTTCCTTGTCTAGAGTGACTTTGTGTAAATAATTTGAGTTATCTTATTAGTCCGTTTTGGTGGAGACTCAAGACAAAGCCATAAGAAGAGTTACAGAATTGAAAGAGCAGTGTAATCTGGAGCAGAAGGCGAAAGCACACCTGGAAAGCGCATTGAGAGACGAAATGGAGGAAAAGAACATCAAAATACAAACCCTTCAGACGAAAATAGACCTCCTGCAAGGTGTTAGCAACCCTGTATTGTTGGTAGACATCGATAACAAAGCAAACAACAGTCAGAATGATTTAGAGAATCTAACCAAGTACTTAAACGATGCGAGAAAAGAGATCGAAGTATTGAACGAACGAATACAAGAGATGAAGGCAAATTCCATAGTATTTCAAAGCAAGGAACAGGAGTACAAAAACAAAATAATCAGCCTGGAAAAAGAAATCGGCACCTTCTCTGAAAGAGAGAGAGAAAATAACCTGAAACTAGCTCAGAACAAGATGGAGCTGCACAACGAAATTCTGGTCAAGGATACGGAGATCGGCACCTTGAAAAAGGAGAACGAGGCCCTACGTCAGAAAGTAGAGGCTGCGAGTGCGGAAAACAAAACCGGCAATAACGTGAAATTGGACAATCTGCAAAGCCAGAACAAAAAACTCATCGATAAGGTTGAGAACTTATCTCAGAAGTGTAACAATTTGGAGAGTGAGCTGTTGATGGTGGAGAAATATAAAATGGACATCAGAGAATTACAACAAAAAAATGAGACTGCGAAGAAGGAGAAGGAAGAATTACAAAAGCTTACCGGTGACATGAAACGGTCGTCCGAGTCTTTCGAGGAAAAAATCAAGGAATTATCGGAAGAAAACTTGAAACTCAAAGGAAAATTAGCCAAAGAAAAGGAAGACTTCGATAATCAGATATCAGCGATCCGAGAAGACGCTAAGAAGGGTTTACTGTCTCTAGAACCGAAAATCAGGGAGAAACTACAAAATGAACACTTGGAAAGGGAGGAGGCGCTCAAGCAAGAGTTCGTTAACAAAATCGAAGAATTATCCTCGAACAACCACAGCTTAAAGGAGGTGCAGATGCAGGTGTTCCAGAAAGACGACGCCATCAAGAAGTTAACGGTAGAAGTAGACACTCTTAGAAATGACCTGGAGAGTAGCGTGGCCGATTACTACAACTTGGAGAAAAACCATTTGGAGTTGATCGAGGAGACCTCTAAGCTCCGCAACACGATTTCAAACCTCGAAAAAGAGAGGTCGAGCTTAGAAAACAACGAAGAGAAGATTTCGAGGTTGGAGGCCCACATAGCTACACTACAGGACGAGGTGAAACATCTCAAAGACATGGGTGAGAGAAAGGAGAAGGACAACGTCTTCCTCAGCATGGAAAACCTGAATCTACAACAAGAACTAGCTCAGACTTCGCAGAAGCTCAGGATTCTAGAAGAGAAAGATGAGGCGATTCAACTGAACAGCTCCGAGAGCAAATTGTTGGAGCTTAAAGTGCAAAAACTGGAAGAGGAGAGGAAATCGTTGTTGGATGAATTCGAACTGGAAAGGAAAATGTTTAACGACATGCTAGAGAACCACAAGGACCTTAAGGAAAAGGAGGCGGTGATTGAAGACCTGCAGGATATACTGGAGAAGACTCGTCACGAAGTGAGACAATCCAGCGAACTTTTACAGAAAGAACGCGAGAAGAACGTAATGTTGTTCGATAAAAAACACAACTTGGAACTACAAGTCACGAAACTGCAAGAGAAAGTGAGGATATTCGAAGAAAAAGGCGAAGCCGTGGGCCTCGAAAAGTCCGAGTGTGGGCTGTTGGAATTAAAACTGCAGAAACTGGAAGAGGAGAACAAGAGACTACTGCAGTCTTTCGAAATGGAACGAGTGACGTTCGCGAACGAATTGGAAGACCTGAAGCAAGACCTGAGCAACGTCCAGGAGCAAAGCTTGATAGATCAAAGCATAGACGAACCTTCCGAAGACTTATTGAAAGAAAAGCTCCACCAGATCAGGCGGCTATCGGAGGCCAAAGAAAAAGACAACGTCTTCCTGTCGCAAGAAAACTTGAATCTGCAACAGGAGAAGACTAAGCTGTTGGAAAAACTGCACTTGGTAGAAGAAAAACTCGAGAGCATAGAGATGGACGGTACGGAGAGCAAATTACTGGAACTCAAAGTTCAGAAGTTGGAGGAGGAGAACAAAGGGTTGCTGGACGAATTCGAAATGGAAAGAAAAATGTTTAACGACCTCTTAGAAAACCATCGGGTGGTCAGGGAGAAGGAAGAGGTCATAGAACAGTTGGAAGAAATCCTGGACAAGCAACGAAAAGAAATAATAAACCTGAAGGACCACCTCGAGACCGAGAAGCACAGGAATGTCAATTTGCAAGAGGCGAAGCTACGCTTGGAAGAGGAGCTCCGTAAGACTATCGAGAAAGTCAGGATTATGGAAGAGAAAGACGAAGCCATAAGTATGGACAAAAACGAGTGCAACTTATTAGAAATGAAGCTTCAGAAGTTGGAGGCGGAAAACAAAAACCTACTGGAAACCTTCGAACAAGAACGGAAGATTTTCAACAAAGCTTACCACGACCACGTCCAAACCGAGACCCAGCTAAGAGACCTCATCGAGGAAAACTTACAAGTCAAGCAAATGATCAAATCGGGGAAACAGACAATCGAAGAACTGACCGCCTCGTTGAAGAGCAAGGCCGAGGAGTACAAGATTGTCCACGACAACAACGTACGGTACTTAAAAACGATCGAAGAGCTGCAAGCCAAAGTACAAAGCCAAGAGGCTAAGTTAAAAGAGAGCGCAGCCATTAAAACGGATAACGAGTCCCTCTCTAAGAAATTACAGGGCTTAAACGTCGAAAACGACAGGTTGAAGAAGGAAGTCGAAGACAAAGATAAACAAGTGTCGGAACTGTCCAAGAACATAGAAAATTTGAGGGAGGTGACCCAGAAGCAGACGGTGGAGTTTAACAGCTTATTAGAACGTACCAAACAACTAGATTCCATCTTGGAGAAGATGCAGATCGATAGCGCTGATGCCGTTAAGAAAGAAAAGGAGAGACAGAACGAACTCACCTTGAAAATAGAGGATCTGCAGCAAGAACTAACTAGAAAGACGACGGAATTCGTTAATTTGAGTCGGAAACTCGAAGAACTCGAAAAATTGTACGCCGAAGAGCAAGACGAGTACAAAACCAAACTAGAGGAAATACGGACGTTAAAGAAAAAAGTGCAGGAACTGGAGGCATTAGAACAAAGCTACAAAATGATCGGCGAAGAGAAGCAAGTAGTAGATAACGAGTTAGTACGTCTGAAAGTCATAGAAACTAAATACAAGGACTTGGAAAACGAAAAAACTTCCCTGGAGAACAAACTGACACAAGCAGAGGGCGATTTTAAGACCAAACACAGCGAAACACTGCAGAAGTTTAAAGTAACCGAGCAGCAATGTAATATGCTGAAAGAAGAAAAGGATAACCTTCTAGCGGAACTGAATAATTTGAGGGGTAAGATCGAGGATCTAAGTTTGGAAAATTCTAATCTCAAGGCTACTTGCACGAAAGCGGCAGACACGGAAAACAGCTTGCGGCAGCTCAAACAACAAACCGACGCCTTACGAGTCGAACGCGATAACTCGAACAAAGAAATATCCGAACTTCGAGTGAGGATTAGCCAGATTTCAAGCGATAACAACCTGATGGTAGGGGAAAACCAGAACCTGATGCACAGCAACGAAGAATTAAAGATCCGGCTGGAGGAACTGGAGAAGGAGAAGAACGAGTTTGACGAAATTAAGAACAAATTATCGGAAGAAAGGGACACGGTAACTAAAACCTTGGAAGAAGTCCGACGGGAATTGAGCGAGATCCAAAACCAAAACCTCCAGTTGGTTAACGATAAAAGCCGAGCGAATTCCAGCGACGTGGACGTAATCAAGATCCAGCAAGACTTCTACGAGATAAAAGAAAAGTGCGACAGCCTCTTTGTCGAGAACAAAAACTTAAAGTCGGAATACGCCAAGCTGGAAGAGAAATGCAACGATTTCGACAAGGTAAAGAAGGTCCTGGAGACGCAAATAAACGAATTGGAAAATCAATACACCGAAATCCTCCACGAGAGACAGTTGCTTCAGGACGAGATCCAGGAACTGAAGATATCCCCCGTCAACTTAAAACCGGAACCAGCCTCCAAACTGGACCAACTGGAAATACTCAAGCAAGAAAAAGCGTACACTACGGACGCGGGCGGCTCCCCGGACAAGGAAAATTTGGAGAAGCAAATCGCCATTCTCCAGGACAAACTCGTACAGTACAAATCCCTGGACATAACCAACAAGAGCTCGATAGACTTCTACGAGAACGAGCTGCAGAAGGTGAAGAGCCAGAACGATAAGCTGAATCGTAAGCTGGACGAAACGCTGGTGACTTTGAACCATTGCGCCGAGCTGTCCAGCTCCACCGAAGTCGAGTACTTGAAGAATGTGCTCTACAATTACATGCTGGGCAAGGAGAGCTTGGTGTTGGCCAGGGTTATCGCGGCGGTGTGTAAGTTCGACCCGCAGCAGACCGAGAACGTTTTGCAGAGAGAACAGCAGAAACAGACTTTGGTGAGTATAGTTTGATACGCGCCTAAAGTATGGAATAAATTAAGTAAAAATGAAACAAATTTTTTTTGGGAAAAATACTCGAACAGGTCGATTTTTAATCTAAAAAATACATATTTTAGCATAAAAGGCGATTTTCAACCGTCATTTGTTTTCGAGTAATCGACATTTTTTTTAAATAGCTACCTCCTATTTTTTTCTTGATTCTGAAAGATCGTTTCATTGTCGATCCGACAGTATTAAAATGTTGCCATCTACATAGGAAAGTTTTCGAGTAAATGACNGCGCCTAAGTTAAAACTAAACAAATTTTTTTTGGGAAAAATCCTCGAACGGGTCGATTTTTAATTTAAAAAATACATATTTTAGCATAAAAGGCTATTTTCAACCGTCATTTGTTTTCGAGTAATGACGTCATCGACATTTTTTTTCTTGATTCTGAAAGATCGTTTCATTGTCGATCCGACATTATTAAAATGTTGCCATCTTACATAGGAAAGTTTTCAAGTAAATGACGATTAAATGTTAGAAAACGTAAATTTTTATTCATTAAAAAAATAACGATTCCTATGTCAAGCAAATACAATTCATTAAGTTTTCGACCTAAATTAAGTGATCGAATTGCCACCCACCGACTTGTTGACAATACGCAAGTCTGTGTAGAAATTCTTCTTGCACATTATGAATTATTTCCGGGGTAAATCTGTATATTTCATCTATAATACAATGTTGGAGTTCTTCTAAATTATGTGGTCTATTAACGTATACTTTGGACTTTAAGTAGCCCCATAAGAAATAGTCCAGGGGTGTAAGATCTGGGGATCTCGCGGGCCATTCTATCGGTCCTCGTCTGCCGATCCACCTCCTAGGAAAACAATTGTCCAGAAAATCTCGAACAGGGCGCGCATAGTGCGGAGGTGCACCGTCTTGCTGAAACCATATGGTGTCATCAGGAATATCAGGGTCATTATCGTTAGGAAAAATTACTGCAAGCGCTGGAACAAGGTCATTTTGTAAAAACTCTAAATATCTTTCTCCTGTAAGGGTTCCTTCAAAGAAGAAAGGCCCTACTTTTCTGTTGTTAACTGTTCCAGCCCACACATTTAATTTCTGTGGGTGTTGGGTATGTGTCTCTGCCATCCAATAAGGATTTTCCCGACTCCAATACCTGCAAATTTGACGGTTCACTGTACCATTGAGACAAAACGTGGCCTCTTCTGAAAAAAGTATTTGCCGGAGTAAATCTCTATTTACTCAACATAAATCCATCATAATTTCACAAATGTGTAAGTGGTGGTCGGGATCGTCTTCATTGAGTTCCTGCACAAGTTGAATTTTGTAGGGATGATATTTTTCCTGCCTCAGGATATGTAGCACTGTGGTCTGACTAATTTCATTTAATGCAACCAATCATTGAAGTATTATGAGGATTATCTACCACACTTATCAAAATGTTCTGTTTGCGATCTTCACTAACGCTTGGACGTCCAGGTTTTGGAATATCTACAACATTGCCAGTTTCTCTACATTTAGATTCTATCTTACTGACTGTTGATTGGCTGATACGGAGATCTGGATGTTTTTCATTAAATAAAACGCAAACTTCCTGCTGCGTTCTAGTTTTATCCCCGCATCCGATAAGAATTAAAATTTCAATTCTTTGTGCGACAGTTAAATGTGCCATAATACTTTAAATTCAACAATAATTTTTATATCGCTTACAATACTTAGAGTCGGTATGACAGTGACATTTTGTAAAAATTTACACCTACGTGATCAATAAAAAACTTAAGGCATTTCGAAAAACGTTTTTGCTTTATTTTAATTGATTTGGGTTTTCTAACATTCAATCGGCATTTACTCGAAAACTTTCCTATATAAGATGGCAACATTTTAATACCGTCGGATCGACAATGAAACAATCTTTCAGATTCAAGAAAAAAAATAGGGGGTTGCTATTTAAAAAAAATGTCGACGTCATTACTCGAAAACAAATGACGGCTGAAAATCACCTTTTATGCTAAAATATGTATTTTTTAAATTAAAAATTGACCTGTTTGAGGATTTTTCCCAAAAAAAATTTGTTTTGTTTTTACTGAATTTATTCCATACTTTAGGCTTAGGCGCGTACTGTATATTGATGCTTGTGTCACCGATTTCAAAGATTTGTGCCTCAACTAGTTAAAAATATTTCTATTGTATTTATTTATTGATTTTTTTATAGCTGGGGCAGCTAGGACTGATTTAACAGTTAGAGGAGCCAGATCAAGCATCTGACATAGAAAAATGAAGTACGTCGTAGGAATATTAACTGTTTGTACACACCCAACACCGGTTTTACGGGGGAAATATTCGGGATATGTTGCCATAAACAAGATGGGATGCCACCAACAACGCGCTCGGCTGGTTTTAAGGAATTTTTTTACACTTAAGGTTTACGGTATTCCTCAACTTAATATTCTCTTAAATTGTTTTGATAAGTTTGTAATAATAATAATAACAGTAGTTCACTATTCATCAAAATATTAACGTATTTACAAGTTACTATAATATGGAGCACTTAAAGGTACTACGTAAATAGACTTTTTCAATTTTCTTGTCGACTTGAATGTTCGTTGTAATTTTTTTTTTTGCATTCCGAGTTTTTCGAGGAACAATTCTAAGTGTAGCAGTATTTTTTTAAATTGATTTGTCGATTCCGGAGAAATTATCGAAAAGATCTGAATGTTAATTTTATTCACGGTATTTTAAAAATTTTGTCTTGCGTTAAAAAAGCATGTATAAACTTTTATTGTACATTTTAACATTTTAATTAGAAATTATTCCCAGTGTCCGTGTACATTCAATTGTGGGTTAGGTTAAGTATTTATTTTTAAAAAGTCCTACATTTTCTGGTTGTTTAATAATAAATTGAGACCAATACGATTCTTTGCATACTCAACAACAACGGATTCCCAGCTAGTATTATTTACAATTTTTTATGCCTTTTTAGACGTTTTATTAACCCTTACCTTACGTTTACTGTCTGTAAATATTTACATTGTTAATAAAATAGTTTATATGTATATTGTTATAATAAAAGTATTTTATAAGTGTTGTTTCATTGGTCGAGTCATTCAGCGATAATAAGATACATCAGAATGTATTTTTTTACTAGAAAAAAGTAAAAAATAATTTAATTGGAATATGGGATGAAAACAAAGTCCACACAGAAATTTTCTTCAACAACTGCATGTACAAATTGGCACTTTACAAAACTACGAACTTTGCCGGAGCTAATACAACGGATAGAATGCAACGCAATATAAAAAATATACAGGAATACAATTCAGTTGAATAATTTAAATAATTATAATGTAGGATAAATCTTAGTACAAAAAATATGCTTAAACTATTTACATTAACCTAGGTAAAGAACAATCACTTCACTTTGTGAAAAAAACCTCTGGTTACCAAAACAGTTCTCCGAATCAGCACCGAAGCCTCCTATTAAAAACGCTTTAAAAACTCCTCCGACACGATCCTTGCCCTTGCGTTTACCGCCAGCTTCATCTCCGATATTTCCTTGTCGATTTCCTCCATGAAATGTATAACGAAATCCACCAGTTTATGTTTGTACATCTGCTCCGTGTGGAAATTCGTGATGAGGAAGCTTATGTCGTACCCGTCCACAGGCTTCCTCCGCAACACTATAAAGTTCTCGGCCCGCATCATCATGAACCTCATAAACTTCTTACACAGGATCTTCTCGATTTCATCCGCCTGTTTCACTGCTATACTGATCCTCACCGAGTTCACGGAGGTCTCTATGAACACTTTTTCTTTCTCGTTCCTGGATATCACCACCGGGGTAAGTAACAACTCTCTGGAGCTCCTAACCTCAACTTCCGGTTTGTTGTGTCTCTCCACCACTTGCGAGGAGAAGTTGTCCAGGCACATGGCAGCGGTTAGGGTGTGGCGCACGGCCGTCAGGTAGGGCTTTAGGGTTGCCGACATTTTTCTTAAATTTTCTGGGGCCTCGCTATCTTATCAAAATAACCACACCTCCTTTTCAGATTTTGACAGATGGAGTGACTAACGAAGCGCTCGGCTTCTTCTTCTAATCTCCACCAAGAGATCGGTTACGACAGACCAAATAAATGCACCGAACAAATTTATAGCCATTTGAGTAACTAAATGTATTTACTCATATGTTTATAGCTTTCAAATAAGCAAGCGGAGCGCCCCTGAAGTACAAATGGAATATTTCAATTTCACTTTTCGCGTTCCAATTGTCATGGAACTGCTACTGAGGTGTTTCTGACGTACATTCTTTGTCAATTGGAAAGCAGTTATTGTTGGTTCAAATTGCTGCACACAATAACAGACATATTATATATGAAAGCAATGTCGATTTGACAAGTGTTTTGTGAAAATCAACGCGTCGTTCTCATCAAAAAAAACCTTAGAGCTTATGCTACGTGAAGTAATCAGTTTACACTATAGCGACACTGTCGACGAGTGACAGAGTTTATAAAGTTAAATCTTTCTCTCTCGAGCAGGCACGTGATTGGTTAACGCAACTCCTACCCTGCTCCTACCTCAACGATTAGAAAGAGAGAGAGTGAATACCCAAACTATCGTTCTTTTAATTTATAGTGTCTACACTTTTTAACACGCGGTGCCTCCTCCATATGCTCTAATCAATAAACCAATCAATGTATAAATCAAATGACGATGCAACGTGAGCGTATTTAGAAGAAGAAGAAGTTAGAAGAGCGGTCTACTTGACGTCCGTCAATCCGTCATTTATATAACCTTCAAATAGGAAGATGATCCGTGAAAATGTTAAGACGGAATTTGCGAAAGGGAAAATATGTTGAGACCCGAATTTAGACCTGTCTTCTGCATTTACATTGGGTACTTTTAGTTAAAGTGTCAAATATGAGGCAGAAGGTGCATTTGACCACGCATAATTTCTTCAGAAATGAGGTAGGTCCACTGATTAGTCCCATTGAATAATTTATTAAATCATAATTTCTAAATATAGCCAATTACTTTTAGAATTCTTAAAGTCATATTGATTAACTAGGACTGTCGGAAATGTATCACTGGGTGGTGAGCTATTTGTATTAGAAATATTTTGTGCTTGTTGACAGCTATAGAAGGGATTATTTTTAACACCGTCTTGGAAGATAAAACGATTTGTTTTGTTTATTTAGACGTATAAAAAAAGAAAATTTCGCAGTAGTTTGTTTGAAATACGGTTTACGCATGTGGTTGCAAAATGTGTTTACGTCCTCCAGATTTGTTATGCAATCCGTTGATAAGGCTCATATGGTTGTTAATTTTGAAAACACATATATGTACTATCGTATTGTAATGCTTAATATAACTTCCATTATGAAAATTATCAATTGTACATTTTAAACATAGTTCAAAGTTCTTTAAACAAAAATATGGTTTATCTTCAAGCTGTTAATACTTGTTTTTTATCGCTTCGTAAACATTAAAATAGAACCTGATTGCATGTAGGTAATGATAGGTTTGTTTTTCTAAACCCTCACTGTTTGTGACCTTGATTGAAACGAATATTTACTGATTTGGATGACTCGACAGTTATCACAATATTTGGTCATTTAAATAATAAATATCAATTGTATCTCTAAACTTGTTATAACATATTTGTAAACAAGCATATCTACAAGTACTACTTTTTTTTATATCAGGCTATTAATTAGGATTGCCGTTATCAAGTACCTCTTTTGATAAAACCGTTATTCTTACATTGTTACGTACCGAGCTGCTTCAATGATGCTTCCCGCAAATGTTTTTCAGCAAAAGAGGGCAGGGAACATCGTCCCGCTCCTGCTGCTGGCCGCCGCTTCGCTCTTAGCGTCCGTATGGACCGTCAAAGACCTAGAATGGGAGAGTCACATCTCCATGGGGCAGGGCTTCGCCTTGTTCCTCAGCGGACTGGTCTTCTTCCCTTCCACGTATCTCGCCAGCAACTCCTTGTTCCTCCACACGACCTTCGGTCGGAAACTAGTCAAAACTTACAAGCTGAGCACCGGCGACATCTTCGACATCAGCAATAAGTAAGCGAAAGTTGAGAAATGAACGTTTAGCGATCGTTAAACGTTGATGTTTGTTTCAGACAAGTGTCGGCAATCCAGGCCCTGTTCTGCGGCATCACCGGTTTCACCTCGTGCCGGTACTCCTGCAAGAGGGACATCCTGCGCACCTCCCACTACATCTCCGAGGCGTACGCCTGGTTCGGGGCGGCGTACTTCTTCTACGACATCTGGTCCATGTACAAGGTGTACAGCGCCAAGATCTCCACCAGCCAGCTCAACGGGGACGCCAAAGTTAACAGGTCCATAAACCGCGCCTTCAAACTCCTCGCCTACCTCAGGAGCAACGCGGTCATCGTCGGACACCACTTGTTTATCGGGGGATTCGGGTTCTTAGTTATTACCGTAAGTAATGAACGGTACCGTTAACTTGTTAATTAATCATGCTTTTCCGGCAGTATCTGAGAGGCGGCTTGGGCGACTGTTTCTTCGGTTTCGTGTACCTGATGGAGGCCAGCACCCCCTTCGTGTCTCTCAGGGGGATCCTGTCCAAGATGGGGATGAAGGAGTCGCCGGTGTACGTCGTGAACGGGCTGGTGATGTTGGTCACGTTCTTTCTGTGCAGGATAGCCATGTTCCCGTACGTGATACACATGTACGCGCAGACCATCGGCAAGGATTTCGTTTCGGTAAGGGACACTGTAACCGTTAGGTTCTGGATCGAAACGCCTCGATACATTGCGTAAATTAAATAATACGATTTTACGTCGCCTTTCGGGAATGGGAACATCCAAAAATAGCCGTGATAGGTAGATCTTTGCCATTTCTGCATTTCGTTTTTGGATCGCCTTTTCAAATGGTGTTTTACATGAAATTAATAAATAACAGAACAGAATTATATACAGGGTGTTTCACCTAAGAGGGATTGTTGTGTAACTCTGTAATTGTAAAATTTATAAAAAACAAGCATCCCCCTTAAGTACACCCTGTATACAGGGTGTTTTAAGTGAAGTAGCAAAAATGGTACCAGTGAATGTAGAGCCAAAAATAAGAGGATCGAAGTGAAAATACCTTATATGAAAGTTGCACCTCTGAGGTCTGAAATTCACATTTTAATTTTTTTCTTTAACATGAGGAATGCTAGAGACACGAAACTTGGTATGAGCATCCTACTAATAAAGAGACAACTTTTCAATATTTGTTTGATCATTGGCGTATTTTATAAAGGAGTGAAACAGTCAACACTATTGCAAAATTTAATTAGAAATTTTTTATATCAAGCAAATTATTTATTTAAAAATATTTATTGGGAAGACTGATTTATTGCGCAACTTTTTTACCTCTTGTAATTTTTCGATAAAACCGATAGTTTTCGAGTAAAAAAATTAAATGCGTCCTCATTCACTAAAGGGGTAATTGCGAAAATTTGTAAAAATAAAGTAGGCGGATGTCATAACAAATAAATTGTTATTTATCATATTAATAAATTGACACTTTGTGTCAACCAATAATTAGTTCCAATTGATTAATTTATTATCAGATTAATTATGGCAAATAATATTTATACCAATGACGAATAAGTCGACATGCCCCAAGTGTTTCTCGAATCCAGAAAAAATAGTAACGCTGCAGTAAGATTATACAACCAAAGATATCCAAACCAACCGATTCCTCATAGACAAACGTTGGCCTCGGTAGAAAGAAGGCTTTGCGAAACTGGTAAAATTCAGCCCAATCGTGACGGTACCGGAAGAAGGCGTAATGTCCGAACTGTTGAAACTGCGGAAGCTATACTGGAACATCTGTGGAACAAGCACAAGACAGGTGTCCAGGCAACTGCAAATTTCTCACAGTCTTGTGTGGAATGTAGCTCATGAAAATCTTTTATACCCTTTTCACCATCAACCCGTGCAAGAATTGAATGACCCTGATTTACCCAACCGTGTGGATTTTTGTCAGTGGTACATTAATATTTCCAGGCCTGACTTAAATTTCCCAATGAATATATTTTTCACCAATGAAGCAAATTTTCCCAGAGTAGGCGCAGTAAACCGTCATATTGTTCATTCATGGTCGGAAGAAAATACTCGTGGAATATTTGTGTCAAGATGTCAACATAATTTCAGTTTAAACGTTTGGATGGGAATNTTTTTATATGAAGCAAATTATTTATTTAAAAATATTTATTGGGAAGACTGATTTATTGCGCAACTTTTTTACCTCTTGTAATTTTTCGATAAAACCGATAGTTTTCGAGTAAAAAAATTAAATGCGTCCTCATTCACTAAAGGGGTAATTGCGAAAATTTGTAAAAATAAAGTAGGCGGATGTCATAACAAATAAATTGTTATTTATCATATTAATAAATTGACACTTTGTGTCAACCAATAATTAGTTCCAATTGATTAATTTATTATCAGATTAATTATGGCAAATAATATTTATACCAATGACGAATAAGTCGACATGCCCCAAGTGTTTCTCGAATCCAGAAAAAATAGTAACGCTGCAGTAAGATTATACCGCCAAAGATATCCAAACCAACCGATTCCTCATAGACAAACGTTGGCTTCGGTAGAAAGAAGGCTTTGCGAAACTGGTAAAATTCAGCCCAATCGTGACGGTACCGGAAGAAGGCGTAATGTCCGAACTGTTGAAACTGCGGAAGCTATACTGGAACATCTGTGGTACAAGCACAAGACAGGTGTCCAGGCAATTGCAAATTTCTCACAGTCTTGTGTGGAATGTAGCTCATGAAAATCTTTTATACCCTTTTCACCATCAACCCGTGCAAGAATTGAATGACCCTGATTTACCCAACCGTGTGGATTTTTGTCAGTGGTACATTAATATTTCCAGGCCTGACTTAAATTTCCCAATGAATATATTTTTCACCAATGAAGCAAATTTTCCCAGAGTAGGCGCAGTAAACCGTCATAATGTTCATTCATGGTCGGAAGAAAATACTCGTGGAATATTTGTGTCAAGATGTCAACATAATTTCAGTTTAAACGTTTGGATGGGAATTGTAGGAAATACTCGAGTAGGTCCTTTTATTCTTCCACACGGGCTTGGAGCGGCTGAGTATCTTAGATTTTTGAACGAAAATCTTCCAACATTACTTGAGGATATACCCCTCGCTACACGGCAGGTGATGCGGTATATGCACGATGGCCCCATCGTGCATATACCGCCTGCACATAGTACACTTGCCGTTAGAGAATGGTTAAATTTAAATTGCCCGAATCGCTGGATCGGTCGTGGTCGTGATGCCCCTGTTTGTTGGCCAGCACGTTCACCTGACCTAACGCCTATGGATTTCTTTTTGTGGGGACACAAAAGTATCGCTTATGCCACTCCTGTTGCCTCCTTAGAAGAACTACGCTTAAGAATATTTCAGGCAGTGGATGACCTTGGTAATAACCAAGAACTGTTTGTGCGACTGCATTATAACTTCAACAGACGTTTTAGGTTAGGCTCGCAGCAAAATGGAAATTATTTCAAGAATATTATTTAAATTTAATTTTGGATTTCTTGTTTTTCATTTGTATTAAATTTTATTTGAGATAAATAACTTTACCTAATACATGTCGTCAATTTATTAATATGATAGATAACAATTTATTTGTTATGACAACCGCCTACTTTATTTTTATAAATTTTCGCAATTACCCCTTTAGTGAACGATGACGCATCTAATTTTTTAACTAGAAAACTATTGGTTTTATCGAAAAATTACGAGAGGTAAAAAAGTTGCGCAATACATCAGTCTTCCCAATAAATATTTTTAAATAAATAATTTGCTTCATATAAAAAATTTCTAATAAAATATTGCAATGGGGTTGACTGTTTCACTCCTTTATAAAATACGCCAATGATCGAAAAAATATTGAAAAGTTGTCTCTTTATTAGTAGGATNAATCGCTGGATTGGTCGTGGTCGTGATGCCCCTGTTTGTTGGCCTGCACGTTCATCTGATCTAACGCCTATGGATTTCTTTTTGTGGGGACACATAAAAAGTATTGTTTATGCCACTCCTGTTGCCTCCTTAGAAGAACTACGCTTAGGAATATTTCAGGTTGCAGATAACTTTCGCAATAACCAGGAACTGTTTGTGCGAGTGCGTTATAACTTCAACAGACGTATTAGGCTATGCTTGCAGCAAAATGGAAATTATTTCGAGAATGTTCTTTAAATTTAATTTTGCATTTCTTGTTTTTCGTTTATATTAAATTTTATTTCAGACAAATAACTCTACCTAATACATATCTCATAGTCTTAAGTTATCAAAATTTTTCATTAATTAGTAGCAAATTATTCTTAATGTCATTATTAAATTACCAGCTTATTGACAGAAAGTGTCAATTTATTAATATGATAAATAATAATTTATTTGTTATGACATCCGCCTACTTTATTTTTACAAATTTTCACAATTACCCCTTTAGTGAACGATGACCCATCTAATTTTTTTACTAGAAAACTATCGGTTTTATCGAAAAATTACAAGAGGTAAAAAAGTTGCGCAATAAATCAGTCTTCACAATAAATATTTTTAAATAAATAATTTGCTTCATATAAAAAATTTCTAATAAAATACTGCAATGGGGTTGACTGTTTCACTCCTTTATAAAATACGCCAATGATCGAAAAAATATTGAAAAGTTGTCTCTTTATTAGTAGGATGCTCATACCAAGTTTCGTGTCTCTAG